TAGCAACTGAAAAACAAAGGTGGAGGGGGGGGGGGGGGGGTACACGGATAAAAGCAAATCTCAGGAAAGTGTTTTCCAGCCATCATGCATGGTAACGGTAGAAGTGCTGGTTTGCCAGAGGCAAAGGTAAGGCAGGTTTAAATTACAAAACACGTCAAATCAGTCTGATGAGCACTGCACTGCTAGTAATTTTGAAGTCAATAGTTATTAATGGCCTGCTTGGAGATTGCTAGGCTAGAGACAGCTAGGTGTATAAAGATATAATAACTTGATTTAGTGACTGTATGGGAGGCTTCTTGGATGAAGAGAAAGAAAGGTTTATGGGGAGAAAAAGTAGTTAATATCTTTGACAGTCTCTTAGAATAGCAGTGAGCAATAATCACCTTTTGAAATTTTTTTGAAGCTCTGGTGTAAAGAGCTATATATAACCCGTGTTACTATGTTGTTGCCCTTAGGACATTGCAGGTTGACTCTATCCCAGATGCTTTGAAAATTAGACAGCAGAGACTAGATCACGCCTCACAGGCATGTAGTCAGTAATCATCTGTCTCACAGTTACTATTTCACACAAGTATTACTTGCCATAAACGAATATCACATGCAATGAAAAAGAAGGGAGAATTTTCCCTGTTGTATATGATTGGAATTTCTAAGAGATACCGTTGCTTCTGTTGCTATCATTTTAGAAGAGATGTTTGTGACTGGACAAACATTGAAGCACACTATGCAAAGACTGGATGTGTTACCGTACTGTGTGCTCTTACAGGAGCTTCTCGCAGTCAGCAGTTAGGGGCTTTCTTAGGGGGTGAAGAACAATGACAAACTGATTCTCTGAAAATTGGCCCATTGGATGGGCTCCTGATAATCAGTGAGACAATGGAAACTGCTTTTGTTTTATGGTGAAATAAGTGGATCCAAGTCAGCAATATGCTTGTGCACATGAACATGTTGTTAATAATAATGATAACAATAATAGCAACAGTAATAAACAACTTCTAAGAAACCTAAAAAATGTCTCCCAAAACCATCTTAAAAATGCAGGCTTCAATGCACGTGTTGGCAAAGAAAGATGTTTTTTCAACCGAGTTGTTTTTAACTAGTTTAGTGATTTGATTTTTAATTAAGTCAGTGCAATTGTGCAGTTCTTCTTACATTCCAGGGCAATGCAGAAATTTTAGCATGTGACAAACTTTACCTGGAGACCGTATTTGGATTTGTTCAAGTCTTGGACAGCTTCTTTATGAATAAAAAAAAGATTTTTGAAACAGAGCTCCCTGAGTGTGTAACATTGACAACAGAGAAAATGCATTGAACTAAGGAGGAAGTTGTTAGTTTTTTAGATGCAGTTTTTCTGATTCTTTTTTTAAGAAAGTCTTTAAAAATAATTGAGATGTAACAGGCCAAAGTGGAATCACTGGTGGTACCGTTCATACTGGAATGGAACAAAAGTTCAACATGAACTCAGAGTTGCATAGAAGTGATAAAGTCATTGTTTAAAATCCTCTTCTTTATCTTCAGGTTTTGTTACTCCTGTTGTCTGGAGATGATTATCTATGGCTTGGATTCTCATTGCTGAATGTATATATTCTGAGGGAGAATTCTTTTATTTTTGCTTTTAGAAGTGCCACATTAATAACTTTGGAGAAAATTTAAAGAACCAGAATCATACTTGGTTGCTAAGTACTGTGACACGATCAGTAGCCTAAAAAAATCCTGACATTTAAAACTTGATATAGGGAAAAGGTAGTTTGCAGACAGTTTCCCAGAATCCCCTCTGTTCTTCTTTTGATATTTTCAGGCAAGAATAGGGCACATATATTTTCTGAAGATCAGAAGTGTGTGTATTCTTTCAGTACTATAAAGACCTCTATGAAGAACAGGCTTTTCACTTTCCAGTGAGACTTTCCAAGTCAGATGCTTGCAGTGTGCCAAGTAGAAAATTCACTCCAGTATTTTAAGAGCTGCACAGAAATGACTATGAATTGTCCCAAACACTTTTTTTCTACTGTTCTGTAGTCACCTTTTTTTAGCCTAGTTTGGAGTTTGACTTTCTTCCTTCAGATTGCATATTCTAGATCCTTTTGCAAGAACAGGTTTTCTGAAGCAGAAATAAATGTAAGTGAAGATTAAAGAGGTACATCATTTGAGTGATTCTCAGTAATCATTTACCATTGTTTGTGCTCTTTTATCCTCTGTCTATGGTAGTGCTCAGCAATAAATCTAGAGCTTTAGTACACAGAAATACAATGAACAAAGCAAACCCCATGTACCTCACCTGAACGCTCAGGATGCCACAGCTCTTTGTTATATCCCCTGTGGAGCTGTATGTTGTCAAGGTTGGGCTAGAGACAGAAGAGTGCTCTGTAGAAACTTCTGTCGTTTTTGTCTCTGCAGACCCTGATGCAGAGAGTTCTTTAGCTTCTCTGCAATGCCCTTATCCTCTTTCTGTGCTCCTTTATATTTTGATCCATAGTGGACGCAGCAGACTTCCTGGTCCTCAGGTATTTCAAGTAAGACTTCCTGTGAATTTTGATTCCTCAGGCTCTCTTTCTGGCCAGCTTTATGGTGCTCTTGCCAAAGTTTGGAAACATGACTTAGGTGACTGAGTTAAGAAGAAAGCTAGTTTCCATAGCTTTTTTGATGTTGCAAGAAAAGCTCTTCCAAGTAGGTAGTAGTTCAGAGCAGGACCTAACTGTAACATTCTGAAATGCTTTTTTTGGAAGAGCTTCCTCTTGGCACTGCCTATTTAATGGTACATCTACCCTAGAATTTTGTTTGAGAACATGAGTGTCCTTTGGAGGAATATCTCACTTTTGTTCTCTCATACTGCACTTCGATTTGCATCGTGTTCTAAGAGGTGATGAACCAGACACCTTTTGTAGAAAACTAAACTTGAAAATGCACTCTAGAAGAGCAATGTGTGTGCTTTACCTTGTAGGAGGACACACAGGATAAATCAGAAGAGAAATGAGCAAGGTTTTAATCTGGTAACTGATCACTTCATTCTGACAGAGCAAAGAGGAACTTGAGGAAGTCTATAAATCACAGTTCTACTCTAAAAAAAAATAAAAATAAAAATTCAATAAACTAAACTGCAAGTTTAAAACACGCCAAAATCCAAACAAGTCACACAAGAGTGTAACTGCTTGGTTACATTTTATTTTTGTTGAATATTGTCCTGTGTAAACCTATAGTAACTTAGAGTAAAGCTTGTTTCCAAATACTGGAAAAAATTCTTTTTTTCCCAACCAGTTCCTATGTACCAAAAATATATCTTTAAGAAAAAATTATTGGCATAAATCCAAATATGCAAAGTGTAGTAAAGACACAGGCTGAAAATAGAAATTTGAACTGTTTTGGATAGATCTCATGGTCTGGAATTTGGAACTTGTATTCTGGAAAATGAGGCTTCTGAGAAAAGTGTCAGTAGTTTGGGAAATAGTTTGTTCTGGATGAGGATGAGAAGTAAAACCATGGTATTTTCCACAGGAAAAAAAAAAGTTTCCAAAGCTCTGTTGCAGGAGAATTGCAATAACAATACTTTAATATGTCAGCTGCCCACTTGGAAGGCTGACAAAGGTTGAGCCTGCTTGGATACCCTTTTATGTCCTACACAGCCTGCCTCTAGGGTGGTAACACAGTCTCTTGCCTCCACAGTTTCTACAGAAAGCTGCAGAGGTGAAATCAATAACGACTTTCCAAGAAGGTAGAGAGGCAGCGGCTGTGTTAGTTTTCCTAACAGCAAACTGAAAACAATTTTATTAGAAATCTTGCAACAAAGGCATTCTTCAGTGGAAAATAATTCTGATTGGAAATTCACAATGGATCTAGTTTGTTATTTCTATTTCAGATGTTTCTATGTTGAGTGCCATACTTGGGACAAAAAAAAAAAAATTTCTCTGTTGTGTTTTGGATACTGCACACACTTAGAAATTAATTAGGCTTTCAGATTGACTGATTTCCATATATTAAAGTTTTTCAATCAATCTCAGCTTTGAGGAACAGCAGCACTGCCTAGCAGAAATTTACTTCCTCACTGGGTTATTACACAGCTCCCATTGTGGAGGTGTGTATGTTACTGTTACACATTTTTCAGGTCATGATTTGAATGAATATTGGTAATGATATGTGGATGTAAATATGTTTTGGTAAATATAAAGTTGAATTAGGACCAAGGGGATGGGTGATCTTAAAATCGCTTTTCACAGGAGAAAAAAAAAAAAAACCAAAACAGTTGATGGGTTGTTTTGGGTTTTTTTCCCCAGATGAAAACTGGTAGAGAGATGTAAAAAGGTAAAAAAGGAATTTAAATATTAGAAAGGGGAACACAAAAAAAAAATAGGAGCAGTAATCTTCCTAGGCCAGCCTGGACACGTCTTATTTTTCTTCTAAGTTTTCTACTGTCAAAACCAAAAAACCCTAGAAAAAATAGAAAGCAGTAGTAAACCCCAGTAAGTCTTTCTCATTTTGCAGATAGACTTAAATCAGAGAAAACCTTTCTCATTTTTCAGGTTACCTTAAATTAGAGATTTATATGAATTCATGGCAATACAGTTATGGAACTCCAATGTGCCATTTAGAGTCATGATTTTCAGGGATGTTATAATAATAATTTTTAGATCAGTCAGCTAGCTACTAATTGCATTGTGTAAAGAGATGCACTTTCCCATGTGAAGATGTAGGCATGTTCTGAAGTAGCTAATGTGTGGAGCTGTGGTCTATGCTTGATTGTCACGCTTTTAAAGGGAAGATCATGTGGAAAGGCTATCAAATGTAGCTGACTACAGTAGCATAAGTCTCATTCTTCACAGTGTAAACTCCAGTTTGTCTAAACTCAAAAGAAGATGTTTTCTTTTATTGACTAGGACGTGTAGGCTGCCTGCACTCTATGCCTTTGGAAGTTGTGTTTCGGACTGGCTCTAGCTTGGTCCCATGGACTAAACAGCCATTATTACTTGGAGCACTTTTAAGTTTGTGCCGCTGGGGCAGCCTTATACCAAGGGAATCTCATGGGTGTAATGCAAGACTGTTCTCTTGCAAAATAAAATACAGTAAATTGCAAACCAAAATGCAGTAAACGTGGAGAATCAGGAGATTTACTTCAAAGCTACGCTCCTGATCTGAATGAAAACGCAAATGTAGTTTCATGATTTTGTACTGTGCTCCTTTCAACTCAGTATGAAATGTTGAAAGTAGACAGTATTTTTCCTGTAAAAGGCACTTTCTTTAGTGTATTAAGGAAATACTCATTTCCTCTCAGTGCTACGACATTTGTTTTTGGCTTTGTTTACCAGGACACTATCTGTAGGTGAAAGTAATTATTGTAAGCATTACATCTGGAAAGAAGACAAGCCCAGAAATGTATTGAAAAGTAGCAAAGGGCTCTTTGTTGTAGGGCTGCCACTTCATTTTCAGAAACATTGTCATCACACTCTTCTGTAACGATACCTCTCTGAAATACTTGGCATGCTTGGCTTCCAAATATCTGGAGAAACAGAAAAATGGGTGTTTAAAGTAGGAAAAACAACTTCATGCAAAAAAACTCACCTTTCTGTTTTTACAGCAGGACAAAGTGAACAGAATATAGACCAGTGTTGCTTTCTGTAATAAAGCAATATTCTTTTGTTGTTGGGGGAGGGTGCAACAAACAAAATAGACTTTTCCTCAGCTGTGTGGGTTGCCACAGGAGCCTTCAGACCCAGGGCTCATGGGAGTGGCCAGGGCTGCTATTAAAATAAGTGAGCCTAAGGTCTTGTAATAGGACAATTAGTCTGTTTTTGCAGAATAGCTATGTATTGAATAATAGCTTTAATGAGGATGATAATTTTCTTCCTTTCAGATGTAGTAGGGAGCTAAGCAACAATCATAAAACCATGTCATGAACTAAAAGCATACCCTAGTTTAACAAATTTACCACTAAATAATTTTAATGATTGTTTTGAAGTGGGTGGTAAAAAAAAAATTACAAAGCAGCACAAGAAGTGATTTCAAACAAACTAAAAGAAGAAAATTTACCTTTTCAATCTGTATACAGCTTGTGCATTCATCTAAGCCACGTGAAATGAAGTAATCTGTTTCCTGTGGAAATAAAGTCACACTTTACTTGGGTTACTGCTAAACTTACTGTATTCTTACATAACTACCATGTTACAGCATAAAAGTAGACTTCTTTAGCACTGGGTGCCACGTAAGTTCCATGGTCCAGCATAACAGGAGCTGAAAATGGCCTGAGGCAGAACCAAGGCCACATACACTTAAGGCTTTATATGAAAGTTTATAAGAACTAGCAAACCCTGACACAAAAGAGAAGCCCGTGTGAAGTGTGTCAGGTAGGCTGCTTTGGCCATGGTGGTTTAGGACTATTTCCAATTCTTGTTGCTGCCTGTAAATGGCCAGCTTCTCTGTTAACCCAGAAAAAATCAGAATTACACGGAGGTGTTGTTCCCTGAAGTTTCAAGCCCAGCTGCTGTGTAATGGATGCAAATGTTGCTTCCACAAACCCCATAGCTGTAAAAAACAGTTCTGATATATTATATTGTGTGGATAAAACATCACCACTAAGAGAGCCAGGGATTTTAATCTGGTGCACATCCATTCAAGCTGAGGCAAGATAAGGGAAAGGCAAGTCCTCCTTCACTAACATTTTGATTTACCTGGAACTAAATTAGACTCAGAAGTAGCCTTATAAATTATATTAAAAGTGAACTTTTAAATGCTTCGTGTTTAATTTCATGGCGTCTGGTGCATATGGGTCCAGAGGACAGATTTCAGTTTAATTCACATCACTGACAAAAAGTCCCATGAAACAAATCCTAAATGTCAGTATCTCGGCTGAAACAAAATTCCTGGTGAAACTGATAGGAACTTTCACTAGATTAGTACTTGTCCTTTATAATTTAGCTAAATAACTTCACAGGAAGATGTATCTGATAATTTTTTTTAATTGATCAGCCATTTTATTCAAATAGGCATATTTTATTAGATCTCATGTATATCATTACCAGTTAATGATGGAAGTCCTTACTAGCATAATTTTAAAACAGCGTAATGAAAACCCAAACAAAAACCACCATGCTGTTGGCTCTGATGTGCTAGTTTAGCCTGATAAACAAATCTGTTATCCTACTTGCAGGATTCCTGATGAAATACATAAATAGGAATGCTTCATTTATTTATGACCAAATTATAAAGTAATTGTCTTCTATGTATTGAGATTTATGTGCGCATTTACCATACTTCTCATTTTTAAAAGATGGGAAGGTGTTCTTGTCTTCAGTAATGACAGTTCTATGGTATTTCTCACCAGTTGATTTTTGGAGAGGTGTATGAGGGAAGTCAGTATCTTCAGTTTCCTTTTATAGACGGTAAGAGACCATCTCGAGGTGTTGCTATGTGGAGTTGAAGAGAGTTATCAAGTCTAGATCTCCTAAGTACCATTTTGAAGTTCTATGCAAGTGACCACAGTGAGGCACGTGAAACAAGTTTGTCTTGTCATTGGTGGTGTCTGTGCTTCTGTTCTCTGTGAAAGTTTTTTCTGTTGCTGCACAGAAGGTAGAAGTTATTTTCTATGCAAGGATTTCTGTTTTCCTTTTTAAAAAGTGAGGGGGATGGGTGTTTTTTGGTTGATTGGTGGTGGTTTTTTTTAATTTTGGGTTAATAGAAATACAGACATTTGAAAGTGCGACAAACCCGACTGTTAATTTTGGTTTCAGAATCAACCATACATTTAAATTATTGTAATTCTTTCATGGATTTACATAGACCTTGGCAGGGTAAATGATAAGATTCTGGATGTGCATGCAGACGTTGGCTGAGGGTGACAAGACTGAATATAGATGAAAGGTACACTGGGAAATAAACCACGTGCACAGTTGTTAACATCCTTCTGAGATCATCTGCTATGTTCAAAGAGGTATAACTGGTCCTTGGATTGTGATGAGAAAGCTAAACTGGTTCTTTCCTTGCTTTGTCCTGCAGATGGAAAAATGAACAAAATTAAATGGATTTTGACATGGCCATTGATATTCATGCTCTTTTGCACCATTCCAAACTGCAGCAAACCACGCTGGGAGAGTTTTTTTATGGTGACATTTGTCTTATCCACTCTGTGGATTGCCTTGTTCTCTTACTTCATGGTGTGGATGGTAAGTGCATGTGGCAGGGCTTCCCATACTGAGTGAAATATGCATCTTAAAATAGTTAATAGATCTTCTGTGTATTTGTTTAAGAAAGGCATGTCACTGTAGTGCAGTTCCTTCAGCTTGTACTCTAATTACTAGATTTCGAGCTTTCTCCTGGTCTTTCTGCACAAATAATTGGGCCATTACTGTATAGGACCCAATACAGTACAGGAATGTGCCAACTTGATTTTCAAGACAATGTGGACAACCACATGCTACTAGCAACAGAGTTGAAATGAAAATGTTTAACTCCCACATCAGAGATACCTTTAAAAATTTGGTTGCAGTTTCTGACACTGCAACATACATAAAAGGCACATGGCAAAATCTGAAAGCTCAGAAGTGGTGTGAAACACCTTGAGTAGGTTGGGATAGTGCAAGAAAATCCATCTTGGGAGTATTGCGATGGCTGATAACGTTTCCATTTTCCCCAGATCTGTGAGAAACAGTGTATCAAGTGTAGATTTCTATATTGCTGGCAGTTCAGTAGCATACTTCCTTGAAGATTTGAATAAGTTCCTATTTTTTCTTTCTTACCTTCCTCCAATTTATCAGATTTACATTGTCAGTCAGAAGAGACATGTTTTCCTTTTGCTCAAACAGTTTATGTGATAGGAAAATAAGCCATACTTTTGAAGTCTAGAAGGTTACCTTTTTCTACGCTAAAAGATGGAAAACTGAAAAAGTTGTATATACCTATAACTGGTAGACTGGTAGCATGTGCTGCTGAACAATTCATATGCCTGTATTCCCTTTTAAAGGAAAATACAGTGAAGAAACCTTCAGCTGGTTTCCTATTGGAATATATATAGTAATATATATTATATATATTCTTCTAGTCCTGCACATGAAATAATTTTTATTAATGAGCTTCTTACCTGCAAAATCTTTTTTGGGTGGAGAACATCTCTACCTTCCTCAAATGTGTCAGGCATTTGCAAACTGCTTTATATTTGTTTCATCTCATGGAAGATTGTGTTTCCTATATACTTTTTGCAATTTCCTGTATAAGTTTAGCATTGTAAAGTAATGCTCTTTTCTCTTAACGTAGACTGTGTTGAAGAAATTCATATGCCAGCCACTTGTTCTACGTGGCATGATGGTGCCAAAGCCTCACATTCATTTCATGCTCTATGTCCTTTGCAAGGCCATGCTCTGTACCTTAGTTCCGTTTCTAGATACCCCCTTTCACAAAGCGAGACGTGCTCATGAAGGCCACAACACAGCTTATTTTAAGAGGCAGCCAGACTTAATACCCTGCTACCACTGGCAGCAGGAGAATCATGCCCACTCCTATTTCTGAGTCACAGCTTGCCCCTGAGGATAAGGTTTGTGAGGTGTTCCTAAAATACACCTTTTCTTTGGTGGAGGGTCCAGTTTTCCTCATGTAAGAGACTGGTGAACTATTTCAAGAAAACAGCACAGAGCCTGAAAGACATTCACCCTTAGCAGTCTCAGCAGGGAAGCAGCTGCCTGTCCCTGATTCAGTCTTCTCACTCTCACAAGGGTATTTCCTTTTCAGCTGCTTGTTCAGCATTTTTTCTTGACGCTTTCTCAGCCTACTTGGATGTTCCAGCTAAACTCAGTTCCATGTCCTTTCCAAGAGATCTGTTACAAACTCCAGCCATTCCCCTCCCATGCTTTTAAAGCTGCATCTGGACTCTCAGGGGACGATATAACCAGCCTTGCTCGCTTTGGCATTATATCAGAAGTCATGCAAGAAATTAGTTCCTTCTTCATGTGTTGGGATAAAATAAGTTATTTATATCTCTGCCCCTATATCATAATATAAATTGGTTACAGTTCTTTTGAGAATAGAACAATTGAGAATCCTATTGTTTTGGGGAAATAAATTAACCCTCCCCCCCAGCTTGGAAAATGCCTGTGCTTCTCCTTAAAAGAGCAGTCCATCCTGTTAGAAGTACAGAAAATGGAACTCTTTGTTTGCCCATAAAATGTTGAATAGTATGACTCAAACTACTTTTCCTTTTCACAAGGTTGGGTTTATGCTTGTTATTCCACAATTATTTTATTTGCAGAAATGGATAAGTATCCTGAGCCTAACTCTATTAGGGTCCACACCAGAAATCAAAGTTAAGAGTATGCCACAACTGTATTGGAATAAGACTTTGCAAATATGTTAGGTTAATCTATTTTCCTGTTCCCTGTTCAGGTGACTGTGATTGGATACACCCTTGGGATACCAGATGTGATCATGGGCATTACTTTCCTAGCTGCTGGAACAAGTGTCCCAGACTGCATGGCCAGCTTAATAGTAGCAAGACAAGGTACTGTGTCTGCTGGAGCATAACTGCAATCTTACATACATGCTCTGATTTGCTTTCCCCATATACACATATTCTCAATGCAATTTTATTATTTTTATTTTCACTGTTTCAGGGCATCATTAGAAGCCAAAACACTTCACCTAATTATTGTGAACCAAAAAAATACTTCCTGTTCTGTTATCTTTTGTTTATTGGGACTGGCAACACCCTAGCATTTTAGAAGGTTATTCAACACTCAGATATCTCATGAGCGGTGTGTATCAGTCAGGGTAAAAAGATAAAAGTACTAGACAAAACTAGAACATCAGCTATTGAAAACTACATTGAAGAATATATGCTGACCAGCACTTATCGAAATAAAAATTACACTGACTTCTAGAAGACTTCTTGAACCCAGGGAAGTGAAGTGGTTTAAGAGGATCTGGCAGAAGTGATGTTTCTCCGGGCATATTTCTCAACCAAATGCAGACTTCTCTCCCATTGGGACATATGAAAAGCTGCACTGGAAAGGATTTTAGATAAATGTCAGCTATGTCCTCATCAGCTTTCCAATTGAAATTGTCAAAGGCTTTCTCATGTATTTTTAAGTTTTTATTTAAGTTCTTTACATTTCCTTTTTTACTCGAGAAATATCTGTAGCCACATCCCTTGCTGTTTCTGATAAACGTCAAACCTGACAAGTGGTCTCCTGTACTGCAGTAGAATAAGTAAAGGTCCTGGTGGTATTCTTCCCTACTATTCAAATTCCCATAGTCTTTTTTTTTCCCCAGATAATGAGATCTTCAGGACACATCATTGGGCAAACAGCAAGGGTTCTGAAGTGATAAATTAAGTACTCAAAAGCCCCACTTTTGTTGTTTGACACTGGAGTGGTGGCTATTAAACGTTGTTTGATTGAAAAGAATTATATATTTAAAATACTTCATTTTCCAGGTTGTATTTGTTGACTGCAGGAAAATGTTCACAAAAAGCAGTACAAAAAATTATTTTGGAATTTTATGGATCCGCCTTCCTACTAAATTAGTTTTTCATATGTAGTATTAAAGTGAACAGACTTTTGTAAAAACAGAAGAAAAAGAGGTTACATTTTTAAATGAACAGGCTGCTGCTTTAGATTAATTCTTCTTTACTATTAGGCAAAACTGCTGTAGGAATTGCTTCCTCTGAGAGTGAAGGTAAGCACTAGCTTGGCAAAAAGCAGCCCCATTCTCTCACAGACAGTACAGGGACTTTGCACTGCTTGGATTCAAGAGAGATGTTTACTGGCAGATTGCAGACAAATAGCTAAAAAGTGGAGAGATGGACATTTATGCTCTGCATCCATATTATGGTAATCTTTCTTTTAGCAGCATCCTGCAAGAAGATACTATCCTTCTGGTATAGTAGTGTCTGTCTCCACTCTGTGTACTCTCAAAGTGTTTGTGGGACATATCCCATTAGGTCAGAGTTCCTCTTTCTTTCCACTGTTCCCTTTTTGAAAGTGTTTTGAAAGTGAATCAATAGTTAAGCCAGTGCCTAAAGGAAATAAGGAGGGACAGAGAAGAGTTCTGGCTTCCTTGCATCCATTGACACTGATGCAGAATGAGACGCCAGCCAGTGATGAGCATCAGGAGCAGATTTTGAGTAATGCCTAAGGACTTCACTACCATTCACTCTTTTTCCTTTACTGTAGCATTTTATTGTTCCTGAAGTGAAATCATTGTTGACGAAGCCCCACAGATGTGCTAAATATCCTTGACTACCATCTGGTTGGGTTCTTTTCAGGACCACTTTTCATCATTCATATGAGATAAAGGCCATGTGTCCACATACTAAATCCAGTACATAATATACAGACAGGTTCCCTATGGCTGCAGATTACCTATGACAAGATTTATTTTTTTTCTTTTTAATTGTCAATGAACTCAAATGCTGAATGGATACTACATCACCATGTGAAAAGTCTTTCCAAGACAGAGGGAAGATGTAGTTGGAGTGAGCAATTCTTGCACATTTTTTTCAGAAGTTGTACAAAAATTATGGAAATTGTCTCCCTACCTCAGATACTCTGGCCAGTCCAGCGACACTTGGATGAACACAGATCATTCCCCTTTAGTTTCCTTTAATACACAGAGTAATGGTCCTGTACTTTATTTTTACTCAAGAGTTGTTTTTTTCCCTTTACAGGCCTCGGTGACATGGCAGTGTCCAACACAATAGGGAGCAACGTCTTTGACATTCTCGTGGGCCTTGGTGTTCCATGGGGTTTGCAGACCATGGCCATTGATTATGGATCAACTGTATGTATACTTGGCAAATCTTTAATTTGTTCTGTTTGTCTTTTTTAAAAAAGTCCTAAAAGTAAAGGATGCACATAAATTATTTTAAAACAAACAAACAAAACAACCCCGCTGAGCATGTTATTGGTTGCTAAGTAAGGTATTACTTGTTTGCCAAGGAACCAGGAGTTAAGGAAGCAACCAGTTTGTTAACTGGAGTGCATTGTACTGGACAGCATAAAAATAACACCCTGGATATCTGTTCATGGTCCTGTCATTGTCTCACTACACAGCTTTGAGCACACCTGTCTGACTTCCTGTACCTTAGTATTTTCATCTGTAAGATGAGAATAAGTGTATCTTTCTCTTCTGAGGATTTTTTAACATAAAATCCATTATAAGTGCATATTTTTCTTCTTATTGTATCGTACTTATACATTGATTTTGATTCTTTAGTTTTCCTATTCTTCATTACCATAAATCTGTTATAGATTTACATGATTTAAAATGTGTAAGTCACTATTCAAAGCAGAAGGTGGACAATAAATCAGTAAATTGATTTCTGATCTGAAAAGCACCGTTATTGTATGCTGAGCATTTTAAAGGTCTCTAATTCCCACAGGTTAAGATAAACAGCAAAGGACTGGTCTACTCAGTTGCACTTTTGCTAGGATCAGTGGCACTTACTGTAAGTATTTTAATGTCTCCAAGTATTCCAGTTGTAAAATACTTATTAAGTATTTACCTGCTATAGAAGGACAAAATGGAAATACTTATTATCCCCGAAGCATTGATTCTTGTGAAGTATCCTTCTAGCAATACCATGAGCTAAGGAGCTACCATTGTTCTCATTGAGGACTGAAATCTGACATTTGGTGCAAGAGATGCTGGATATGTGTAGGTCCCACTGATTTAAGTGGCAGCATTGAAACTGTGGGATCCAGTAATACTTCTGTGCCCCAGTCTCCAGCTGCATAACCCAGGCCTGTCTCTACTTTATGTTGAGACAAGACCCAGATATGCTTCATCACCATTCACCCTAGCTCTGATTTCCAAAAACAGTCTAGACTAATCAAGTACTGTAGCCAAAACCCTTATTGAAAACTAGTCTGTGAGGACTGTGAACCTCAGGACTTGGAATAGGTATGCTGAATGTCACTCAGCGTAAGAAACTTACCTTGTAACACATGACTTGTTAAGGTGAAACAATAATTCTGTTTCAAGAGTCAATTTTACTGGTACTTAAGGTCTGATCCTGCTGACTCCCAGGGAACCCGCTGTGGGAAGAGTCAAATCCCAAAGGTATTAAATATCCCCTTGTACTAATATCTTTCACTGGTTGCCTGTGGATGCTCTGTAGAGGAGGGGATTATCACTGGAGATTTCACACTGTTGCATGACTAGGTCTTACAAAACTCCACATCATCTGCACAACTGAAGTGATAGCATCACCAGGGCTGTTCACCCTGCCACTAACTTCCTAATGTGTCTTATAGATAAACTATGGGAGCCTCTTTACTATTCTTATCTCGGGTTCTGCCATACTGCACAGTGCCTGTGAAATAACAAAGGGGTTCTGTAGACGTTTGTATCTGATGATGTTGCATGCATATTGGTAATCAGCACTTTGGAAAAAAAATGGGAGGATTATGCAAATGTGTTGCTATGCTAGCTGCTCATGCTTTTCTGAAAAGACTACTTTCATAGCTGAAGCCATATCAGCCATGTTTGAAACATCTATTATCATCTTGTTTGTTCTGCTGGATACTCGGATTCACACAGATCCTCCCAGCAAAACTTGGTGGAAAGTTTTGGGCAAAACAAATAATTCAGAAGCACTCAACACCGTTGAAAAGAAGTGCCTTTCTGAGAAGTTTGTGATAGCTTTGCTATCTGTAACTTGTAACTGCCTTTAGTTCTGGAGCTGAAAAAAACATAAAACACCTTTTCTGAAACTGCTGAAAGAATGAACATTAGGTGCTGGTGTACTATTGGGACGTAAAGGATCTGTAGGGCACCATTGGAGGGAGGGGCATTCATGTAGTCCAGTGCATTCCTTTCATTTATACTGAATTAATGAATGAGTGCTCACTGACTAGAATGCGTCCCGTGTACTGAAAGTGCACCACAGACCAAAACTGAGCACCTAGGGGCCTGTTTCTCAGTCACATGAAGAAGTTGCGAAGGGCTCTTGAAGTGGGTTCACTTAATTTCTTGTAAAAGGATCTTAGGACAACTGAGAGTCAGGCCAGAATTTGAGTTCTTAGTTTGGACTTTTACATTCCTTTTCTTGATCAAAAAAAATCATGTGTTGCCCTTTTGACCTATAAGATACTGCAAATATATTTTTATCTTCTTTCAGGAACTCTAATGAATTAGACTTTCTTCTTTAGCTTATAATGATTGTTTCCAAAAGTCTTCTTGGGAGTGTAATTAACCAAAACTTTGTTTGCTTGCAGGTGTTTGGAATCCAAGTAAATAAGTGGAAACTTAACAGGAAGTTAGGCATCTACGTGTTGTTTCTTTATGCTGTTTTCCTGTGTTTCTCTATATTGATAGAGTATAATGTCTTCACCTTTGTCAACTTCCCTATGTGCCGAGAAGAACATTAAACCAAAACACAGAAAGAGACTGAGATTCTTCTGGTTACATGTGCTGTAAATGACACGAGGCACTTCACTTTTCTACCTTCTTTTCATCAGTAATTTGAGTGTCGTTCCTGCCTCGTCAGCTAACAAGCACTTTTACCTGTGTGGAAGGATGATGTACCTTTCTTTTAACATGCTAGCTGGAGGCAACCAAAGCATTTTCCTCCTCTTCGGATATTGCTGCTGAGTCATAAAGCTGTGTGGATCTTACGCAGAACTCTAAAATGACCCATTTCTGGGACATTCTATTGCAGTTTTCATTCTCCTGTTGCAGACAATTAACCATCACCACCAAGGTTAGCAAGAAGTTGGGAGAAAAATCTTTATAGTTCTTTTGGTTTTGACATTTACTTTCCATGGAAGAATAAGAGGCAAGTTCAGAACTTTTTCTTGGCTCGGACAAAATGTCTCAACTGCAGGACTGGAAAGTCCAAGACACTGTTGAGGACATCATTTTCCTGGTCAGGTGCTCTGCTTATACAGGAACTGCACTGACAGGTTTTGATGGCAGTGTTGAATATTTATCCCTGTTTTCAATAAACACAAGCAACGTGGCAGAGAAATAAGAGGAAATGGTTGTATGTTGTATCCCTTACAATGCAAACTAAAAGTCAGAGTATCTGCATATTCAAGAAGAGAATTACATGCATAAATTCATACTTGAAAAATGTTTTACCATTAGTGAGGAGTGGTGTATGCTTAAATAGAAATTAACATTTGTGGAATATTACACCACAAGAAAAACTTTGCATTGGCCCTTGTAAGCCCATTGTGTAAATTCAGAAGAAACTAAACAAATAAAATACAACTGGGTGCTCACTAACTATCAGTTATTGTTATTAACTTAGAGTAGTACCTGAACATAATCCAGACTTTCTGACAGCAAAACCCACTCTGGTTATCATTTGATTTGATCAGTGGGGTAAAGAAGTTTATTTCATCAGTCAAGAAGCTGGTGTATTTTTCTCCATTTTTTTTTTTTTTAAGTTACTCCCAGAAGTGTAATGAAGATCAGTGTCTGACACTGAGGAGTGAAGATAAGAAACACCTAGACAAAAGCAAGTCTGTCAAGAAAATCTGGTCCTTGATTTGATTGAAAATTGCAGATTTGAAAGCATGGTATAATTCTTTTTAACACCCAGTAGAAACCAAGTTTTGATATCTTTTCTGTCAGCATAAATCTGAAGAGTAAGGAATTACTCTGGACCTAATTGACAGTAAGATCTGCTATTAAAAATAATGGGTAACGTTCCACATTGTAGCAGTCATATGATTGCAACATAACATCAGTCATAATATGCTGAGGCAGCATATTTTGAATTGCTACTAAACTTCAAAAATATTTTAAAGCTGTATGTGAATGATCACATAAAGTCTCTAAAGAAGCACAGTTAACTTTATAAATATATTTTTTAAAATTTTTTAATGTTTATAAACCAAATCTGTCAACTAACAGTTGATGCATTTTAAAATGTATTCATATTTTGCACTTAAGACTAATATTAAAAAAAAAATCCCATTGTTGTGTCAATGAGAACATACTATAAAACCTCAGCAAACAAGCACTAAATCAGAAAGTTCCGTATTTTGACGTATATGACAAATATTCTGTTTAGCCAACTCACTTGCAGAATACTGTTTACACCAGGCAATCTGTTTACAATTAAAGGTATTTTAAAATTATATTGGTTCAAATTAAGGAGTGTATTCTACTGCTGAATTTTTTTTTTAGAAATTTGATCCTCACAATGTAAACCTAAGGAAAAAAGAGCAACGTTATTTGCTTTACACTTTGTTGCGAAGGTCAGTATTGGTATCCATTTAGGGTTTGTCACTTTAAGTAGTTATGTAATTAAATAAGCCAGTCCTAAAGACAGCAACAAATACAGGGTTATTGAATTGCTTTATTGAATAGGCAAGCATGACAGTAAACACATTTTATGTCTCGGTGATGCTGATGACCCCATTTCAAGGCATTCAAGACATATTTTCTGCAGTGTAAAGCTTGGGAGATGGAGTTCATGTTCACCTTTGAATCTTCTGTTGCAGAAAGGCTGTGAAGATGCAGGATGCTGCTGCACCACTGTAGGAGCATCCCTCTCTTCCCTGCTGTCTTTCAGGAGGACAGTTTGCGATAACTTAGGAAGGAGGCTGAAAGGAGCAGAGAAGAGAGGCTGAATAAATGTCTTTTTCCTGTGGTCTGCTGTTGGGTGGGCTTGAAGAACTAGCTCTTTTGAAGGAAACGTTTGCTCTTCTGTACACAGTTCGGGCAGCTTAGATGTCTTTACGCTACAGAAGGGTAGTTCCAAACTGTAGTTTTGAATCCCTAGTGATCAGCTAAGTTGACAGTGATGAGTGCATCAATGTTTACAGTGCCAGAAGTAGCATATTGTACTGTATCTTCCTATTTCTGAGCCAGGCAACTTTAGAAGACTAGGGGCACCAGTTTGTTCTTTAGCACATATGCACAAATATGCCTGAAATTGTTTGCTAATGCCACGAATCCTTCAGCCATCATTTAGAATTATTCTGCATAAATTGAATCACCTGCTCCAGAAAACAAGACTGTTGTGTTGTAGCAAGAGACGGCGTCAGAATGCTGTAATGCTGGCCTTCAATTGCATGGCCAGTCCTGCCAGTTACAGTCCTCTGAAAGCATAAACCCACTTCAGGACAATTTATTTTGAATTCTAATGCTGCACTTCATGAAGTGGTCTCATGTGCATCATCTGCTATAAGACGGGTATGCCATGCTTATTGTTATAAATAACACTAGTAGGATTCTCCTCTGACACCACCACGTGACCAGGGATGTATTGTTTGCCAAAGAATTATTCGATGTTCTATTAGGGCCTTGATAATACATAATCGTATGAAGTAGTTTAAAGAGTCCCTATGCAGTCATTATCCATATGCTAAAATAAAGATGGCAGTTACAGACCAAGCCATGCAGATAAACTGAATGGCCCGAGACAGGTCTGAATAACAAATTCTTGTATGTCAGGTAAACCCACATCAGAATGTATCAGTAATTCAGGAGGCTATTGCCAAGTAATAGCAGACTAGTGCCTTTCATGTATATATTAAAAAAAAAAAAAAAAATAATTTGCTCTTGTGGTCAGAAACCCACTACAAATTTTGCTATTTTCCAATCAAGAAAAGGAGTGATTTGTGCTTGGCTCTCTGCGATCAGGGTAGGTGTGTATTGCAGCTGTTCAGATTGTGTCTGCAAAATTTTGTAGCCATTTTGTTGTAGTAACCGTTGCAAAAGTTAGCTGTCTACCTTTGAAATGTGTGTCACAATGTTGTGTAAGTTAATGTTCAGCTCAAGAGTGAAAAGAAAGCTGGTGGATGTGAGAGAGAAAATTGTTACTGTGAATTGGAAATTGCCAACTAACACTGAAAAGTAACACAACTCAGAAAAAGATACCCCATATCCAGCAAAGCTTAACTTTAGTAGGATTGATTCCATGCTTAAAGCTAAGCGTATATCCAAGTGCCTTGCTGGATTGTTTCCTAAGATGACAGTGGAGCATGGCTTCTGTGTTTTCTATCATATTCAGTTTTTTTCATATTTTATTTGGTTGGTAGTCTAAAGATTATTTCTTTCTCAAATTAAAAGATTTGGCCAGAATGCATGGACTTCAGCTCTGCTGATACCACTTGGGATTTCAACTCTTGTAAATAAGAACTAGTTCCTTGTCTCAGACTTCAAAACTTTGTATCTGCCCTGGTGTACAAGAAAGATCAAAACTGGATTATGGCTGGCCAAGGAGAGCTTTTGACAGCTCTTCTCTGCTGCAGTTCCACTGGAGTAGCACTGTCCTACAGAGACCCCCAGGGTACAATCCTGTCTGTAATGAGCAAGTGTGATTGTTTCCCTTGAGTTCAGCAGTGCTTGAGTCCCTAAATTTGCTGTAACAATTGTATTACAATATTAGGTGTTGCTGGAGTAAAGGCTTCAGGCTCAGGATCTACACATCTAAATCAAAAAAGCTACAGTTACGGTTATCTTAAAGACTGTTTGATGATCAAGGGCTGCTCTCTGGGCTGAAGTCTAGTCTAGAAGAAGATTTTAAGTCTTCCCAACAGGTACAGCATAGTCAACCACCTTTCTCCTGACTCAGTCACTGGCGTGCCAATTCTTATCTTTATATGCTTGCTGCAGCTGTAACAAACCTATAATTAGCTTCTGGTTTTAGATTGTATTTGTAAACATTGTGTCAACACACAAACATAGAAAAGATCTTTACTAGTCTATTACTTAGCAATTATAACAAAGATTCTATTCTGTCCTCAATTTCCTTTGTGACTGTTTTAATTACACACACTTGTTTCTATTATGTGTTTGCTCTAGTTGCACAAATCCCTCATGAGTTGTGTTGTCTTCCTTTCTTGTTTTCTTGCAATTGTAATGCCATTTACTTGCATCCTACAGTTAGATGGTTTTGTTAGAGTGCTTTAAGCTGTGTAAATACTGCCTGATGATGCATACCAAGGAAAGATCAGTCCTAATGTAATATGAAACAGACACTAAAATAACACTGATAGCCAGGTGAAACCAAAGAATCTTCCTATTTGAAGTGCATCGCATCTGAGCATAATGTTCTGTGGTTGCAAGCCTCAGATCTCTGTTGTTTGTTTTTAAGCACTCAGAAGAAAATCTGTGCACCTCATTCATTTCCTACACAATTTCCTTTCTATTTCTTTGAGTCTGAACTCCAGATTTCTCATTTTGTTTGGTGGTGAGATTGGTGTGGTGGTTACACAGGTAAATGACAGCATTTAGTTCCAGGGATTCTGTACCAATCCCTTTATTATTTCACTGAACTATTTTGGAAACTGTGCAAGCAACCAATGTTCTGCTGAAGAGAATAATGTCATTATACTGACATGTGCATTCCAGTTTCTGACCTACTGTGTAAGTGTTTAAAAACATTTTTAATAACTTGAATATACACTTTTTTTCACATTTCCCTCTGTGTGGGGTCCTGCTTTTTTTTCTCTCCCCAGAGAAAGTTGTGAAATCCCTATACATCCCTGTCATGCATGGTGAGATGCACGTAGCTCCCTCTCCATGGGCTGAGATGTGCAGTGATTGTGGCAATTTGTGTATCGCATTTTTCTGCTTGCTACCATCTGACACACAGTGCACTGTCTGAAAGAGATGAATGATTATAGGAGA